TGTCCTGGTTACTTCGCTACAATACAGCCTTTGAACACAAGGCCACCAAGGAAGGCGGTTGTTAAGCAGAAGGAATGGTTGCCAAATATAAGACCAACGCTGGCAACGTCAACATAAAGTCATCATAGGGATCGAAGGAGTGAGGGCACTGCGTGTCAATCTAGAGCAGAAAGATGGGACCACGGCGATTAATGTGGTTCCGTCGCGCTGGTAGGGCCGTTTGCGTGCTTGTGCCGACGTTACGCTGTTACGTGTTTGAGTTTTACACAAGCCGCATCGGCGGAGTCAGGTAAACCCAGAAATGGGGAGACGAGTGACCCCTCCCTCAAGCACATTATTTTTAAAAAAATAACTAATCGCTATACTACTATAAACTGAAACTCGTGGTAGATAGCGGACAGTACAGGGGATGCGTGGTACAGGGGCAATCCCATGACATCGACCTATATCGTACACACTGAGGAATTGTTATACGCTAGATGATGACGTAACTCATGGCCTTCTAATTGTATTAATTATGGATAAACACGGCAACTCGATTGATGACTCAATCCTTCGCGACTTAGTTCTGTGTTTTGTGGTCGTTTCTTGCTTGTTCCACTTTTTCGCGCTGTGCTATACTTGCTGCTGCTGGGCTATTATTTAGCTACTTATTATACTTTATTTAGTTTATTCTTTATACTTTATTTATGTTACTTTATTTATTTATTTATTTATCTATTTATCTGCTATCTATCTATCTACTATCTATCTATCTATCTCCTCTATCTATCTTATCTTCTATCTTATCTATCTATCTATCTATCTATCTATCTATCTATCTATCTATCTAATCTATTTTCTTGTTGCGTTCCTTTTTAACACGCTTTTCTTTAACGTTTCTCGTTTTAACCTCGTAGTTGGTTTATTATCAGAAGTACGATATTACTCTACTTTTCTGTTAAATGATTTATCTCAACCTCACAGCCATATATATACTTATATTATTACATCATATTACCTTATATAGTATATATAACTATTACTATAACTTCTTATTATATATATAATATACATGTGTGTTGCGTATTTATGTATTTATTATTTATTATAATTTTATTTACACTCATGAACATAACAGTTTTATACGGCTTGTGCGATCACGCACGTTAATGTTTCAGCGCATGCGATTCATTCCAATGGGGTCATAGGGGGGGTGCTGCTGCCAATGCTGCTCGAGGTACCAGCTTTGCGGCTGCTGGGCTCAGCGGGGGAGCTGCGAGATCGTTGTGCCAGCGGAATGGCCTTTCTGTGGGAGTGGACCGTAAGGCAACTGCCTGCGGTGATAATTCTGACGAGAGGAACTGTGACCAGAACAAGAATACTAACTACGGGAACTACGGTACCTGTAAAATAGGGGCCTTTTTACTCCTTTAAAATGCGCAGATGAGGATACGACCTTTTTGGGCCTTAGTAGGCCTAGCTTTCGTTGCTCTGGTGTTTATCACTCGTGGGCATGCCCTGCGCATTTATAACTGCTAATGCTTCACGTATGCTCCTGCTACTGCCTCATAACTAGTGGTCTTCTATGGATTCTCTATTGAGCCTGTATCTAAAAGAATTGTGGTAGATATACGTTTTAGTACTATATCTTCGTATTGAGATGCACCTACACAAAAGTTGTAGGGCAGAGCAATTTGTGAAAATTACATGTCACGGGACGGTTGGTGATGTAAACATTTGTATGTAATATTTTATTAGATGGAACATAAGATTTTGATAGGAAACATTCTGTATAGAATTCGTGATCATGTTTAGTCCTATATATTGGTGGACATTTCAGAGTAAGAAAAAACGAGTCTCGGTCTGCGCGGGCATTTACACGAAAGCAGTCTGCGCACTAAGTTGGCAGCAAGCTCGGACTTGACCATCCTTCAGATTGGTATTGTGCTGAGAAACAACGCCTACGGTCGGAAGCTAGCCTCGGTAATGACGCTGGCTGTGGATGCGATAAGCGATCGTTCGAGACGCAGAAGTAGTCCTTACGGCATTGAACAAACCACAAGGTAATGAGCGATGAGCGCAAATTATATACATAAATATTTATTTATTTATTTATTTATTTATAGAGAGAGAGAGAGCGGGAGAGAGAGAGAGAGAGAGAGAATCAGTATAAGAGTAAGAGTGCAAGAGAGAATGAGAAAGGTAACGTGAAGATGTGAGCGTTCGTGCATGCGCAGCGTGTGTGTGTGTGTGTGTGTGTGTGTGTGTGTGTGTGTGTGTGTGTGTGTGTGTGTGTGTGTGTGTGTGTGTGTGTGTGTGTGTGTGTGTGTGTGTGTGTGTGTGTGTGTGAGAGTGTGTGTGTATGTGTATATCTGAGCGAGGCAGTGAGAGTGCAAGAAAGGCGGCGCGTAGAACGAACGATCGAACGAGAAAAAAGAGAAAGGTAGCGCGCACCCGCGAGAAAGGAAGAGAAACAACAGAATGTTGGCTAGGGGAGAATGCAGGAAAGTATTCACGTGAAAATAACAGACAGAGAGAGTCAAAGAAAAGCGAACATACCGACTGATACTCGCAACGAGAAATCGCATGCAATAGATAGAAGAAAAACAGTTGAAATCCGGTAGAGAGAAATGTATAGCGAAGGGGACAGATAAATAGATAGGCGCTAGGACATGAGACAGCAGCATAGGTGTATGGTCGCAGGGTGATACTCCATTAGGAGTGTTCCCAACTTTAATGTCATTAATGGTCATAATAACATATATATATATATATATATGGTCATATATTAGTTTGTGGTTTAATGTCATTTCGGTTAGGGTTAGGGGTAGGGTTAGGGTTAGGATTATCAATCATTAATCATTAATGATATCAAAGTTGGGAACACTCCTAATGGAGCGTTAGCCGATATACATCATACATATACAGTATAATAAAGCACCAGGTAAATTATTGCAAATAAAACATTTTTCGCAGGTACTTTTCTTCGCCGTCAGAGTTAACTGCATCGATGGCCGAACTGTACGCCGAGGGAATTAAAGTGTTCATCGGATTTGAGCAAAGCGAGAGTCTTGCTCGGGCCGTGGAATGGGCGAACGTCAATGCTCCTGATGCCGTACTCGTCAGCCCGTCTGCTACCGCTGCCGCCGAAGACTTCCCGCGCGGCAACTACGTCATGCTGGGGATGGACACTGGCGCCCTCGTCCTGGCCATGCTGCTGAAATTCAAGGAGCTGGGAGTCGACGTCGTCGTTCCCGTAGCTAGCGACGGCGTGTACGGTCGCAGCATAATCAACCAGCTGCAGAAGATGACAGCGAACGGGCTGTACGGAATCACCGTCACCGCGCCCGTGCTCTACGACGGCCGATCGTCTGCCACGTCCGTTGTAGCTGATATCCGACGGGAGTTGACGACGATCAATCCCGCCGGCGGTAACAACACGGGCATCATTCTCGCGTCCAAGATGGAGGCAGGCGACATCATCAACGCGGCGTTCAACGACGAGGCGCTGAGCGAAGCCATCTGGTTCGGCACGGACAGCATCGCCTTCAGCGAGCGTATCTTCACGGCCAACAACAACCTGGTGACGAGCGGCAACCGCCTCTACTCGTTCATCTACTGCGGCAACCACTTCGCCAACAACAAGGCGGCCTTCCTGACGATGAGGATGATACGTAAACAGACGGGCTCCACACCGTCGTACACCGACGCACTGGCCTACGATGCCGTCATCCTCGTCTACGAGGCCGCAGGCGACCTTCTCCGAGCGAGATCGGGCGTCGAGAAGCGAGCCGAGCTGAGAGAGCAGTCGCTGGTCACCGCCGGAATCACCGGCTCGCTCGAACTCGATCACACGTTCCGACGAAACGACGGAGAGATCTGCGTCGCATTCATCCCGTCACGAAAGCTGGCGCGCGAGCTGGTCTCGTCGGGCCGAAGCTCGTGGGTGCTCGACGGTAAGGTTGAGATCATGTCCGATAGCATTGGAGAGAACACCGGCATACGCAGCGGCTACACGACGCAGAGTGGTTCTGTCGTTCATCCCCTCAACAAGCACGACCTGTGGCCGCTGATCAAGAAGTGGGGACCGTGCCTGAATGATACCATCGTAATTCACACCATCGATCCGATCACGTTAGATGACATCACGGGCGTATACTCCATGAAAACGCTGCCGCCTGACATATACATTCCGGCTACGTACGGCATGACGGTTGACATGCAGTGCACACGCCCAAGCGGACAAGCCATTGAAGCCGTCGTAACCTGTCCCGGTCTCAATGATCCCGCAGCGAAAACCGTCTGCCGGATGGACAGTTCTTCGCCGCGTCGCAAGCGTCGTGGAAACTGGGTTGCCACCGGCGCCACTTGCGCCGGCGCTGGAGTCGGCTGTTTCGGCGGACCAATCGCATGCGGAGCTGGTGGCATCGCTTGCCTCGGTAACATCATCGGCAGCGTCACCTGCTTCGCAGCCGACTCCATCGTTCTCACAGAAACCGCCGATGGCAAGACGCTCCCCAAGAAGCTGTCGGAGTTGGTTGTTGGCGACCGAGTCGAATCGGTAGAGGAAGACAGTGGCGCTCTTACATTCAGCGACGTCTACTTTATTGCACACGACGACGAACCGGACAAAGCTGGCGAGATGCTGCGCATATCCTTCAACTGCAGCGACTGCGTTGGCTTCATCGAGCTCAGCGCTGCCCACCTTCTCTACAAGAGCGCCGCCACAGACCCCAAGCCCTCCGACCCATCTCCGGCATCTACAGTCAAGATCGGCGACTACCTGTGGACGCGTACAAAAGACGGCCTGGTAGCGAGTGCAGTCACTGATATCCAGCCGTCGGCAGCCCGCGTGCGTTCCCCGCTCACGCTCAATCACCACATCGTCGTCAACGGCGTGCACGCGTCCGTGCATTCGCACGACGAGAACGCCTACAGGATTCTCACGTCGTGGATCAGAGCCGTGTACTACGTGAACAGCGACTGGTCCAACTCCGCCATGGTGAAGTCGATCGTCGACAAGTCACGTGACATGCGCCGCTTAATCGGTGCTTAATCACCGACGCTTGCTATAATTATGGTCTTCATGCACCACATTTAATAATTCTTATACAAATTGGTGTCTCTTATTAAAACATGAAATGGAAAAAAGTTTATTGAAATAATTAAATGTCGCACGGCTCATTAGGCAGAGCGATCACGATATAGATTACTTGTTTGCAGTAATTATTGTTAAGATGTTAGTAGTAGATGGTAGCCATATAACACGCACACACGCGCGCCCACCCACACTGACACACGTATGTACACTTAAACACACAGGCGCGCACGGTCACACGCACACGCACACGCACACACACGCACGCGCGCGCGCACACACACACACACACACACACACACACACACACACGCACACGCATGTCGCACCAGCACACGCACACGCACACGCACACGCACGCCGCACACGCAAACGCACATAGCTAGATTTCGACATAATTAATATTGAAGTATATACAGGTACAGTAGATTCAGGGCCCTGTTTGACAATCTCCCAGCTGAGCATTTCCTTCTTTTTCATAAACTTAACTCAATCGAGAAATTGTTTCCAGTTGTACTATTTGTGTAAAACTGTTGCTTCATTTGATTTCGCCGTGCATGCTTTTAATTATTATTTTATTATTATTAGCGAAATTATCATGGATGTTTCGTGGTTTTAATATTTTCGCGTAGAGGTGTGAACATAAAAACTGCCATAGAATTCAATGAATAAAACAATTTATATATGTGTACGCATGATCAGATAAATAAAATAATTATTTTAAATAAAACAAAACTTTTTCGACTTGAAACTGCGCATTTATGCAATCAATAAATAATTTGTCAAATTGTGAAAATCAAATCTTATGTTATCTTACGCGTAATTAAGTGTAGTGAATATTGAAAAACTCCCAACGCAGTGACATCGCATAAATTCCGTAATAAAAAAAATTGAGTACGGTGTATTGTAACAGTGCACTCTAAAATCTAAGCCAATTATAATTATTTCAACATTCAGATATCATGCCACTCCTATATCCGGCGCGCGCATACATGCGGCTGTGTGCGGAGGCCGGGTCTGTCGTGAGTGTGGTAGATGTTTGCGAGCTGGAATTATCCTTTTCCAGTTACTAGATGGCGGTGAGGTCGAATACTTCGTTTTTTTTACCATGGTCATGTAATCGGTCTCGTGTGTGTGGTGTGTGTGTGTGTTGTGTGTGTGTGTGTGTGTGTGTGTGTTGGATCGTGTGTGTGTGTGTGTGTGTAGCCACGCCGCGATCGATTAACGCGTCGAGATCTGCGAGTTGCGAGCTCCAGCAGCAGCCACCAGTGAGCGGCGAGTCAGCAGCAGCCGACCAGTGGCGGCCGAGTCAGCAGAGGCGAGTCAGTCAGCAGCCGCCACCAGCGAGCACATACATGATAAATGCTCGCGGAGGTATGCACTCTCCGTGCAGTGCCCACTGTCTAGGTACTATATTGCGAAATGAGAAGCGCTCGTAAGCCAGTAGTCAGAGTCAAAAACATCAGCAAGTAGTACATAACCATTCACTAGACCTAAAAATGTCTTAACTATTGACAGCTGGCACTTTCGCTGCAAAGGTTATTGCATTTCTACCAGCATTAGACTTTAAGCTATTTTAATGATAGTTCGATAACTATTTAGTGTGGTGTTGCTGACAACTGTGACTTTAGACACAGCACACAACAGGCACCGACACACAACAAACACACACACACACAACACACGCACGCACGCACGCCACGCACGCACGTACGCTACGCCACGCTACACACGACACACACACACACCCACACGTATAACACACAAACAAACAAACATACACACACACACACACGCACATACGCACACACGCCACTTATACACACAGGCGCACGCGCGCGCGCACACACACACACACCACCACACACACACACACACCACACACACACACACAGCACACAACACACACAACACGCCACATACACACACACACACACACACACACACACACACACACACACACACACACACACACACACACACACACACACACACACACACACACACATGAATGGCGGATGAGGGTCTGGCCCAGGAATAGTCGGGAGGCAACAGGGGTCCCCAAAGTGCTGGAACTTGAAATCGGGACAGTCTTGAAAAATACATCGAACTGAAAATGAATCGGTGTAGTGGTAAATGTCAATATTTCCTTTAGTAAGGCTGACTGTAATACACGATATCTTGCATATAAGAATACGTTTATGTTAAGAAAAAAACATGAATATCTATTAGATATTAGAGCCGATTTCACATCGAGATTCACACTGTGGATGCAATGTATATATACTTCACACGTACGTGTTTATAATATCCTCACTTGTAAAATATTTCAAACAAGTGTTGAACATTCATACGTACGCACAATGTACATACAAGTAAAATCCTATTCTATATATTCTCTAAGTATACTCCCCTTAAATCATCTCCCACCATCTTCGTTATAAGAAGATAATAACAGAACGTTGAAATAAGGAATGGTACATGAACGTAGTCTTATCACGGCAGTGAACGTGAGCACGGATGGGCATTGTTTACACTTCCTGTCTCAATGAGAATGTCTTCACCCATAGAAGAATGAACGACTCGCCGGGTCGAGAATGGCAGGGTACACATTATACTTTCTCCGCTCAAGTAATACCTGCCGGCTATTGTTCCCTGTTCCTTTACACACACACGGTGCTTGAACCTTGGGAGGCGCGACACGCTGCGCGCGAGTTCACTGTAACAGAAGAATGCTACTTCTGCTAACGAATATAATCTCACCTTATGCATGGGTTTATGTTGTATCGTAAAGCCAGTGCATATGAATAATACCAACAAAGCTCAAAATTTTGATGCTTAATAATCGTATTGACTGCATCCACACTGGCCTGTTACTGCCGTCATCAACTTGCTATTACCGCCCGCCAGCGATAGCTGTAGCATTCACGGATTTCACATATATAAATGCCCATCACAAAACTAGTAGATCCGTGACGGATTTTCCCGAGATCCTTACAACAGTTCCGGCGCCCTCATCTGCTTCGCCCCTCATTACAACCTAAATACACCTTGTATGTGACATAGCACACAGGTGCACGGGGCATTCATCAGTGTATAAAGACACGCATTGTTGTGACAGGATGCACCCATGACAGGTTAAATGCCGGGGCAGCAATTTCCTGAAATTCACTCGAACTGGTCAAAATAAACGTTACAGTACGAGCAAAGCGTGCTAAGATGTTTATCCTTGGCTATGTTGCAGAAGACAGTTTAGATGAGAAATGTATCTTATAATGCCTATGTTAGATGACGCTAATGGCATACCAGTGCCAGAATTGATTTGTTCAAATTTTTTTTTGATTTTCCATCGAATTTTTCTGTCGTCGTGTTAAAACTGATACCGATTTGAACAATAGAGCAAACTAAAAGGGTTTTTGTTTAATCGGCGCTTATAAATATAACTTGAGATGTAATAAGCGCCGGATATGTGTGCCAATCATATTAATTCATCTCGTACGTAATAATGTAAAAGAATTGTGTTCGTAGATCACCCATCTCCAGCCCTGTACTAAAACGATGTTCGTTGGTCTCCCGTGCCCCTCGTTAGCACAGAAGTTCACTTTCCTAAGAATGAGGATCGTGTCAACTCCTCATATAGGCCTGTTTTGTGATCAGATACCTATTTTACTGGGATTTTGCCCATTGTAGCAGTGTTTAAAGCGCATGTAGCACGAAATGAATAGACGCATGCAAGCGAACAAGATGCGTAGCTTAACTTGCCACACACGACGCAAATTAGCTACGCAGAAAACGATTATCTTGATCACCATCGACCAACCGAAAGTTCACTGAGTATAGAAATATGGCTATTCAATGTCCTCAATCATTATATTATCAACGATTACCATGGAATGATAATATAGAAAGTTTTTTTGTAGAGTAATGAAATTTCTTATTATTGAGTACGCAGGGACTGGAATCATGGCAGGGTATCATAATTACATAGTATATATAT